GAAAACTGCAAAAGAAACCTGTTATATACCGTACTTATGAACACTAATAGTTATGTCCCAATCTTCATAAATACGTTAGATACTTTTTTTGTAAAAAGCGGGGGGGTAATATGCTGTCTAAGTAATCCACCACTAGATGTAGTTTACCTATTTCACTCCGCTGGCGAGTATTTTATTTTGTTGATGTTATAAAGATTACCATTTTATTTCCAACCTCCATTTTGGTTATTCCTCATTCAGTAACATTTTCTAGGTTACAACAGAACCGAACGCAGTTCTTTTCAGAGAAAGATCAAAAACTATGTGAATTCGTTTGTAATATGATGGAAGATAAGAAACGGTAAGAAAGTTGCTCAATGAATTTAACTTTTTTAATACCAAGTCTTTTCAGGACATAGACAATCTTAACTCTCCATACAATCCTTTTGTAAATTGTCATGAGATCATTTCAAAGATAATGCCTTATAGAAGCCTTCTCCATAGTTTTTAATTCCGAATTCTTCTCCTATATTGGTTGCCACTCAACGCTAGAAAGATTAGTCTACTCAGATACATAACCCATAAATTTGAGGTAGCGAGAAACTGGAATTTGTACAAAAGTGAACGTAACAGACTTTGTAAATTTCAGTGGCGTAACAACATTGATCGTTTGATCTCTGGCTCATAATAGTCATACCAGGACTCATCAACTGTGAGAATTCTGCTTAGGAAGCTGCTAACCTTGCTACGCGACACCAGCTTTTTCAAACCCCCTTTCATGAAATTTATCAGCATTATTTATTTAGATCAATGATCCTATTTCACTGGTCGGTAGGTGTGTCAGGAGCTAAAATTTATCGAAGGTTTTCAGCACAATAAGACGACAGTGCACTAGCGCGTAGAAGTGTGTATGAGTGGATTGAGAAGTATAAAGTGACCGGATATATAGTGATTTTCTAAGCGATGCTTAGATGTGTCACAATGCCGGAAGTATGGAGCAACAAGTGAGGATCGAACTAACAACTCAGTCGTAATATGTTCTACCGAGACAAGCTTGCTAACCATTACACCACGCCGAGGTACCCAAAGTGTCTGGATATATATGTATTGCATGCATAGAAATTTAAAATTAGATCACGTTAATGATCATTTCACCTGACCAGTTAAAATTTCCTTGTAAGGATTTTTAAACTGATCAAGGTAAATTTTAAACCAAAAGCAGAAGAACAAAATTCGGGTGGGGAAGTGTTGTGGTACGATCCACCTAATTTACATAGTAGAGTACCGACCATATAAATATGGTTGGTACCAGGAACACGGGGGAGGAAGAAGAGATCCAATCCAGAGACTCTGCCCGACTGCGACTAAGGCAACCCATTCTACAGGAACGGTCTTCCCAAGAATATACCAAACTATCTGTAAATATTGTGTACACGTTCTTGTGTCAATACATTTTGTTTAAGTACATTTTGTGTTGTATTATTATTATTCCATGCTTTATTCAAGTTTCAACAGGAAGTAAAACGGAAAAGGAAATACTGAAAAGATAAATAAATAAGGGAGAAAGAAGAGAAGTTAGAAGATGTCTAGATATATAATTTATATTAAAAATATATAATTATTTCTAAATTATTTGTTTTATATTAAAAAACATATTCTGTTTTAATTTATTAATACTTTTTTAATATTCGTGCAATAATGAATTTGTTAATATAGGATAAAAGTCTTCCCTTTTCTTAGGCCTATTTCCTGATAGAAACCATGTATATTATTTACTTTTGAAGTCAAGTTTAAATTTAAATATAAAAAAAAATTATAATAATTTTTCGCCGTTCGAACTTACGAATTTGAATGATATAAATTATTTATAGTTAATTTTGATATTTAACGCAACACTAATTAAATGAACATGTTTTAACACAATTTTGAATCATCAACACAAGAACGTGCACTCTATAACGATCAGAACATATTTGCACCCAAAGATTGCAAGAACTGCATGGAGTCGTGATATCGTCATTAGTTATTGTGCATATTCACTAATATATATGTGGCACCATTTACGAGGCAGAGAAAGGAAGAGAAAGAAAAGAAGACAGAAAGAAAGGCGAGACGAATCGTAGGTGATAAGCAGCCTCACACGGCTAAGAGACAATGAAAATATTGATAAGTAACAAATGAAAAAGGGTGTCATTACAATGACAGGGAATTTCTGAGTAAAAAAAGAAAGGGAAAGAAAGAAGGAATCAGATGTGTTTTGATAACGGCTGTGTTATCTAGGTGCGTAAAAGAACGGCTGGACCACTGGCCAGGGAAAATTCAAGTGAAAATGCTATTTCGATAAGTGACGAGAAACAGGCCACTAAAAAGGACTTTGGACAGATATGAAAAATTAAATGCCACACAAGCAGTGCCGCTGACCGAATTTTTTCGACGAAACAACTTTGGCCTGCGATAATAAAATTATGTTATCAGGAATATGTACCGAAGGAAAATGAATGGGGACCCAGAAGTGTTTTTCTTTCTTCCTTGGAGGCGACAGACTGACTGAAAACTTTGGGGATATTTCTTTTTTTGAAGCCATGTTAAGAAGACCACCCATCTTGATAAATTAGCGATAAAATACCTGACAAACACCACGTGTAGAACAAGAGTTGTCATATTGTCCGTTCGTGGCTAGAGAAATGATAACGGCGATTTAAGCGGAAGAAAAGGGAAAGAGAAGAGATAATTTTTTTTTAGTTAAGCAAGATATTTTTTTTCCCGAAACAAAGCCACGGATTGTTCACGCCCGACTAAGACATCATTAGTCAAGTGGTGGTCACGTGACGCACGAAGGAGGAGGAAAGATACCCGACCAAGACCTCATTGGCCGAGTGGTGATCACGTGACGCACGAAGAAGGCTGTCGACGCCCCATCCAGAGTATAAGTATGAGAAGCTGCTACAAAGAAGTGGGGAGGGCAGTTCACGCCCCTCAGAAGTATGGTGAGAAAGTGGGAGTGAGGAAAGGTTCCCAAAAATGGAAAAGAGTGGAAAATCCCTAACCAGAAATAAAAGAGGTGGATATGTATTTAGAATTATCGAGGAAACCCCCGACGCCAACAGACCCACCCCGGTTTTGGTCGGCGTCAATAAAAGCGAGGCCCCAACAGGCAGAAATCAGTTCGGGCTCCAGCGGAGAGTTGAGTTTCCAGAATTGAAGCCGCCTCGAGATAGCTGACCAAGATTCACGCAAATTTAGGACTCCTCTTCAACCCAAAAACAATTATTTTGAAGAGCGACTTAGAACCAGACCACCGAAATAAGTTTTTCGACTTTCGTCCAAAGACACACCGAAACACCAATTTCTTAGAGAGCAAACAACTTGAAGCGTTAAAACTTGCCTAGCGGAAACGATGTGTACAATCCACAGAACGGGTCGGGAGATAGATGCAGTCCTATGTATCGACCAACTAGACATAAAGTTTGTTACCTTTTTCTTTGATACTTTGAACTTTTTGAGTTTTCATTTTATTTTCTTTTATGCATATTTGTGTAGTATCATCCCCGTTGAACTCAGTTTGCATTACGGCCCCAACCACTGTTTGATCTCGTCTGCCTAAGATCAATTCACAACGTGGGTAGGCGGACTGGCGATCAATGCAGTTACCTTGGTAACCAGGCGTTGGAAGCGAGTTGGGAACGACGAGGCTGATATCAAATGTAACCAGATTCCCACCCGAATCGCCAAAAGGTTAGAACGTCACATTTGGGTGCCGCGACCGATACCAAGCCAGTTGGTCGTCACAGGATGAGACAACACGACTGACGCGACAGGCGGACGTCACGTTTGGAGCAGCGACACCCGAACGGAGCAGCGAGGAGCGAACAGCTGGCGCCGCGGCGAGGACGTCACAATTGGTGCTGTTTGGGGACGTCACAACTGGTGCCGTGGTAGATCAGGATAGAACGTCACAGTCGGCGCTGCGACCGGGGGGACGACGTCACACACACACACATATATATATATATGTGTGTGTGTGTGTGTGTGTATATATATATACGCATTTCCGTTTGTGTGCATATAATTGTGCGTCTATGTGGACGTATACCTGTGTAAGTTTCCTTTGTGCGATTTCGTGAGTTGGTGTGTGTAGTTGAGTGTGCATCTCTCTCTGCCGGTTTCTGCTTGTGTATCTATGCGTGTAGATGCACTCTCCGATGTTTCATGTGTGTGTCTGCCTTTCTCTGCCAGTTTTAGCGTGCGTTTTTCTGTGCAAGTAGTTGCGTGTGTGCGTATCTCTAACAGTTTCTCTGTGTGTGTGTGTGTGTGTGTGTGTGTGTGTGTGTGTGTGTGTGTGTGTGTGTGTGTCTATGCGTGTAGTTTTGTGTGTTCGCCGGTTTCTGTGTATATATGCCCTTCTCTGCCCTTATCAGCGCGAGTTTGTTTGTGCATATTGTTATGTGCGTTCCTTTCCTCGCCGCTATTGTGTGTGTGTGTGTTTGTGTGTGTCTGTATGGGTCTGTATTTGTGTGTGTGTGCCTCACTCCACTGGCTTTTGTGAATATGTGCTGCTCTCTACCTATTTCTATGTGCGCGTGTGTGCGTGTCTGTACGCATGTTTCTCTGCATGTGTTTACACTACAAAGAACTTCCTGATACATTTTTTATTTCCTCTTTTTTTCCCGCCTTTCTTTCGTCGCCTCTGTAGTTTCCCCAATCTCCATGTTTACAAATCCGTTTCGGGTTTTTCACAGATGAAAAGTCTGCCCATTTTGAATAAGTTGAATCATTTACAAATACGAACAAAACAAAACAAAGCAAAAAAAAAGTAAAAAAAGAAAAAAGGCCGAATATATTTTGTTTGAATCGCAATGAGTCTAAAAAGGGAGACAACATTTTAGTCATTTTAAATATTTTCTTTTCTTGTTTCTAGTTTTTGCCCTTATTTATTTTAAAGTCTTTATTCGATTTTCAGTCAGATTTCAAGGGGCCAATTTATATTTTTCAGATTTTTTTTAAAAATTTTTAATTCTCAG